ATAATTGGGAAATTCTTTATAGCAATAGCATGTTATCGGAAACAATTAGTATTTATAATGATCTATTTGAAAAAATCCGGAAATACTAAAGTTAACTGCAATATTTGCACATTTGAAAAATGGGCCACTCAAACGTTAGATAAGGCCAACTTGATCTATTCAGATTCCGTAAAAATAAATTGATATATGAACACAGTACGTTGTTGGACGAATTGTTTTGTTGGCCAACAGGATTGAAGCACTAATAAGGACTAGATAATTTTGTATTAATTACACCTTGATAGTGCTTCGATTCCACATAATTCAATGTTCAACTACTAAGAACTTCACATACAATGCAACTAACAACACAGATGTTATTCTTAGTTCTGAATACTTATAATTGTAAAAGTAGGATATATCATCTGTTTTCATCCGAATGATAATCCACCTGACTATTACCATGCATTACATCTTGCTTTTTACGAAGATATATATCTCAACTAATGGTTCACTCTAAGAAGTCCGTTTAGACAGGATCAAAATAAATTCTTCTTTTTCACATATATATCAATGACCGACAGATGTCGATTTTGTGAAACCTTGATGTGGTGAATTGGTAAACAATTCTCTCTTATTTTAAGATAAACAAAAGCCCAACAACAGACCATTTGGTCAATTTACAATATGAGCTGTTTTGCGTTTAAAAATTTAGTTTGATTTCTAATCAACAACAGCAGCAGCAGCGGAATTTTAAATAACAGACGGACTCGAATACACTCAATACATGGTGAACATTTGTGAAACACCTGGTTTACATATATATATATATATATATATATATATATATATATGGCGTTACAGGTGCATTGAAGTAGATAACATATGGTGGCTGAATATAATGTACTTTGAATGATGAATACAAATATAAACGCCGTAGGTGTCACTCGTTTAATGGCATACACATAAATATAAACATTTATTTATCATTTCTAGTATTTAAAAAATAATTGTTTAAATATATCGAGTGAAGATATCAAATTTTTCATTGAAAGAATTCTGTGGTGAGTCTATATAAAAAAACGTCATCCAATGCTACAGAGAATACTCGAAAATTCAATTTGTGACCATATATAAATATTAGATATTTCGGTGTAGTATTAGAAATATTTCCACTATCCTTTAAAAGTTAAGCTATGGATTCAAACCATGATATTCGATTAATCTCTTATTACTAAGATGCTGAATCCATTTTTTTATAAATATGATCATCAAAATAGAGTGGCGTTGATTGGTAATGATAAGAGATGGAGTAGAATTAGAAATCAAGAAGTATATTACAACCGTTTAATTTTAAATTGAAGATGAGAAATATCAAACAAATGTCAAGTGACCCTCAACTTCCGATTTTTCTGATTTTTTGTAGCTTCCTTCAAATTATGATCAAAACATGCTTAAAACGTAAAAAACAGTTACATTTAACTCAAAAAATAGTTCGACATACAGTTAGACTTATTGAATAATAAGTACCATGATTTTCATGTAAAGAATAAACTTGCTAGTCATGATCATTTGATTACTAAACATAATTAACCAAACTACACTTGGAAATGTTATCATTCGTTATCTAGTCGACAATCACAAAGACAGATTAACTCAAAAACACCGACAAGGTCCTAGCATTCTACTTGAATCAAAGGTAAATGTGATTTGTGTTTTATCACTTCCCTCTGTTTACCTCCACAACAAGAGACAGTGGTTCAATCACTGGTGTATTCCTCGTGCACAAAACTTATCGTCTGCGCATTTGTTCCATCTCGATGAAGATCATATCCCAGTAAAACAACAGAGTATTGGTCCCTCCAGTCAGCGCACTCTCGTTTTATCTCACTGCCAACTCTTCAATTTCACTGGGCTTCGTTAAATTTGTTGTTGTTTTGTGAACGAGCATATATATCGGTTTACGAACGATTCTGAGTCTAGTCATAACGACAGCAGATGTTTCCAGACAATAACATTGTATGCAATCGATATGAAGAAAACCTGGAGAGATTGTAGTATAGACAAGAGATATGTGTACATCACAGACGGATTCGTAATTCTGGTTGCTGTGGCAAACACGTTTTGTCTGTGCTAATCTGTAATAATCAGCTATGTTATTATGGATTGGGAAATGTGAATGATCATTGTGTGGAATATTGACCGGTGCATGTAATCCACTTTGAGGCTCTCATTTGGTAGTAGGTTGTTAGATGGAATAGAAGAGTGAGAAATTGTAATATATTATGGACGATGGTCTCAACAAACATTCATTATGTCACATTAGTTTACTCCATCTCCATATGTGCAGTTTATCTGTAACATTCTATGTCCGAACACCACGTGTTTCCAGAGATGTTCACATTTTGGACTATTGTGGTGTTTGAATTAACTAATGATTCTTTTGTACTTGTTGAATGCTTGATTTCGAATTCTAAATACAATACATTCGTTCGTGCTTGTCTAGTACTTCTTGATTCGATTGCGTTAATTCTGGGATTCCTAGTTCACACGATAATTCAAATACTTTCGAACATTATAACTATGCATAGTTCCTTCCATTTAAATGAGACTGACCTACATCGTAGTTGAACACATTTCCTATATAGAGTCATCTCATTGAAGACTCGGACACTGGCTTCTTGTTCTGATGCCAGTCATAGTCTATGCAGTTATTCACCATGTTGTCAGATCACATCACTTTCGCTTCGGTTGAAATCACCTCCACCGTCACCACCACTACCACCACCATCACTATCATCAACATCAACAACGACAAAAAATGGAGTGTTGTAGTGTGACATGTTTACCTTGTGTTATGCTGAGTAAGTTATTGGGATGAAAAGTGACGTTAGACTTGTCCAATTTAATCTAGTTAGTGTTGAGTGTCATGGAATTGACTATTTGTATGACTAGAACATTTGTTGAGACGATCGACAATCGTTTCACACTCAATCAGACATCAGTGAAATGAATGAAGAAGTAGTTAGTAGGATGCCTGTGAGTTTTCGGCTCGGATTCCATTGGAGACTGATATATTATAGATATGTGGTGAGTGTAGTAATATATATTGTTGTAAATAATTAATAATAGTTAACGTGAGTGCTGCACTACTATAAATCGTCACATTTTTGGAAATAACAACAATTTCCATGTGTTATATTGCTTAACACTGGACATATGAAATTCGGTCACTGAACATTATGCTATCCTGTTGAAATTTTGAGTTTGTTGCATATCTGGAGTGCATTTTTAGTGAGAAATCTACTGAGCGGTTTTCGCAATTGTTAGAAATATTATTAAGTCAATGCTTTAACCGTGAATTTAGTAATAATTCTTCAATGATTAATGTCAGATTCAACTATTTCTAAAATTATATGGATATGGGAAATGCGAGATTTTCAAATTCGAATACAGTGAAATGAGTAATTAATAGTAATAATGACTATAGAGTAGGACTACAATGAATTCATTGGTAATTATGACTTCCTCTGAACGCAAATCTCATGCTTCATTTCGTTAATAGAACGAGTTATTTCAGTTTTAATGAGTTGAATACGAAGAAATCTTGGGAAGTTTTCATAAATTCTGTAAAAAACCTTCAAATCAGCATAATTAATCAGCGTATTGATTAGAGATGGTCAATATTCCGGTATAGATCGCCTGACTTCCCTCTTTCCCTAATCGTATTAATGTTGAAAACACGAGTTGGCTACTTTCATTCTAACTATTTCCACAGTAACAGACGAACTGATCTTTTCATGTAGCGCGTCCAAATGGGATGTTTTCGTAGGTATGACTCACAGTTTTCCTGAACAGAAAACTCTCTTAATTGTTGAAGTGAAATGATTATCAATTTGGAAATTTGATGAACAATAAATTACATTTTCATACAAATATATTTATTTACTAAAGAATTTCTATAATTCTATCTCCGACCTCCTTTCAAATTCTTATCTATGGAGCAGTGTGTATAGCTATTTTCAGCCAAGTTGTCCTGATGAAATTATGTATTTCCTCAACATATTTATCACTGCACATATCAAAATGTCTAGAGATATAAAGGGTGAATAAGATTTCTTTTCTCGTATAATATAACCGAACTATAGAGTATGATTAGCTAGCCATTCCATGTTTATTTTTCTTATATGGATTTTTTGATGGATCTATTACTCCTATTCGTCAGAAGCACTTCGGGGAATGAGATAGAATGACCTAGTTTATTTTCTTACATGAATACTTGTGATGGGTCTCAGCAACTGAAGGGATGCAGGATGTGAATTAAGTCATCATTCTCGTCGTAATGGGCACATATGTAGTCCATATATCTATTGTTCAAGTTACTTTTTAATTATCAAACTGCACTGATTGTTGTTTCGAAGCGTACACATCAAACAGTCTACTGATAGTGGACCCAACAGAAATCCCATTGCTATCCCATCTCTTTATTTTTATATTTCTTTATCGGAACTGGACTTTTTTTAAGATACAAGTGGTTAGTTGGCAAATCGATATCTATGTTGCTTAATCAACTAATAAAAGTTCAAAAAGACCTCATTTATGAAACTTTCATTTAATTCCATACAAAATGTGACTTCATTCATTTTTAAATAAAGGCTAAGCCATAAGTAACTTGTTATTATCGTTCTCAAAATTAATTCTAACCAGATTATAAATTGTGTCTATACTTACAAAAATTGACTTAAATTACTTTTCTGCTTCTCATCCTATTGCAGGTTGACATACGCCATAGCGATATATTTAGACTAATATACGAAATGGTTAGTGCATGTAAGGTAATTAATCTAGTCGCCATGACAACGAATATTTGGCTTATATAAGTGTATTTTCCATAAGCCAATGAACTTTTTATGTTAAACAGCCAATAGAAAGTAAGCAATAATCGACCGAGTTTTAAATCAAATTTTGATTGGTTTTAGGTTTGCAATAAATTCGGAAGGATTGCTAGGATAAGCTTAAGTATGACACGTACAAGTTGTCGTTCTCCTGTGTCTCGTTTGCCTAAGCATCGCAAACATACGAATAGCGTCAAATTCGATACACCACCAACTGAAATGAAAAGATGTTTGGTCAAACTGAAAAAAATGGTGCCAACTATTGAACGAAATAAGAAAGTTAATCAGCTGGAATTATTGCAACATGTTATTGATTATATACAAGACTTGGAAAAAACCCTTCAATATCCTGAGGATATATTAACATCCGTCAACGTATCTAAATGTTCGAGTCCTAAGGAAAAGTAAGTCTAGTTCTATTTTTTATTATTTAAAAATATCAATGTTCTCGAAGACTTATTACGCAACAGAATGCTCGACGTAGTCAAAAATTCTTATCGAGGGAATATAATGTACTGTAATAACTAAGACAAGTTTCCGGTAACATTGGAACTTCCAAGTCTTTCAGTAGGCACTAACTACACCGTTGAAACTAAGAAGCTAAAATTTCATTATAGTTGCTGGATATTCGTATGTTTAGGCTGCTCAAAGTTTGAAGTTGACCTAGTTCATTTGAATGGCCGGTATGTGTTTATATCCAACGTTGGATTATGAACATATCCAGATTCATTAAAATGTCGATAAAATGTTCCAAGACAATGCCCTTACAAATTAATTCCTGATCTAATTAAACGAACTGAAGCAAAAAAGGATGCCTATTACAACATGTAATAACCTAACGAAATCCTGTTACTGCTACTAGTTCCAGTGTTACGACTGTGAAACAAATTGCTATACAGTACTTGTGTAGCGGGAAAAGACAGGTTAGATGCAGTGAGGAATGCAAGACTGTAAATAATGTATCTCTGTATCATACTGATTTGCCACGAGTAATCAAAAAACCACCTGCTTCGGTTTGGGTACCCGAGCAGTATCATAACCCACACAAATTAAGTGACTTATATGGCGCATATGTATACGGTACCCTTTTTGTAACAATATTTATGTTCAAATAAATCGAAAATAATGAGGTGTATATTTTAAACATTCGTCAATATATGAAGTTGGATGTATTGGATTGGTTGTAGTTAACACTACTTCGTCTAATTTACCATAGATATATAACCTGCGGACTTTACAATGCAAAATTTGATCTATTGATGGTTATTACACGGAAGTTCGGTGTAATTCAGTCCTGAGACACGTTATATGCGCTCAACAAATCCCTTACTTGATGCGCAATCCTGATTGGAGTTGGTTGAAGATTGTTAGAAGTTTCAGCCAAGACGTTGCGTGATTGACTGTTGGGTTTGGTCTTTTTAGTAGATTCTGACTTCGTAGGTAGATAACTCAGTGACTGCAAGCAACCCATGTTGACACTTTCGGAAATTGTTATACACAAATTCATTCACTCCTTACATTTATTTGGCACACGCTTCCCAGCAGTTCTCCATATCCTTTATCCTGTCTAATATTCTTATTATTAGGTCTTCCCCTATAAGCAACGATTATTCAGACTTGCTAGTCGTTTTGTTTGTTTCTCATATCTGGATATGCTAACGCACATTTATCTTAGATTCCATGTCGACTGGGTGTGACTCATTGACTAACTAGTCGTACTCCATCATGTCATTTTCACGCTGATGACAATTTGAACTTGATTTCTCACCGATCCCAAGTCATTCAAACACTGAACAGATTTTTTTTCTAGTTTTTATAAGCTGAATGCTTGTTGGCATCCCTTAATTTTCGCTTTATAAAGCGTTTTCCCATTTTGAAGTAGTTTCCGTACTTATTTTAAATATTTGTCTTGATAAATTTTAACATGGATTTTTTCTAGGCATAAAATAATTACCATTTATCTTCAAAAATAATTAACTCATTTATCTAGTTAAATTCCTTTGGGAATGACCTTGTAGTTTCATTCTTATATAAAGTAGGATTGACATGACAAACGTAAGTCATATAGTAGGGGCAGTTCCGAACGTTCTTCGCTAACTAGTCTTAGGTACATTTCCCTTATATACTATCTTATACTGAGCTATATCCAATACAGATGTATCAACTTTTCCAATGAAGTACAACATGACTTGTTTACACCATCCCACATATGACGATCTTGACCATAAAGTCTAAAGCTAGACGTAATCATTCCCGTGATTTGGGCTCAACTCATTTACCAATTGTACATTCATGTACTCGCCTTGAAGCGTTTTACGTAAGTGTTGCTCAAATCGAGGTATTTCAGGTTTAAACTTTAGACGGTTTGGTTAAAAAAAGTCCCCCTCATTCTGACAGTATGAAGTGGAACACAAACATAGCATATAGTGTTCTATGCGTCAGGCTCTTAGATTGCTGAAGACTTAGTTCACATTAAGTGTTAACAGCCATCAACTTAACTATAATCGACTGACTTTGTATCGTTTCTCGTATGCGCTATTCCATTCTCTATCATTATTATTCGTGTATTTTTTACTCGTTATTGGTCGACGTTAAGATATCCATCTCAAAGTATTATTTTATCTATGACACACTGTTTATGATTAACCTAAATAATTTCAACTCTCTGTCTACCACTTGTTTTTCTCTGATTTTACTGCTTATTTTGGTTTTTTCAGTCAATCACTTGTGCACCTTTAAAAATACATATGTTTACAAAGAAAATAAAGAAACGTGGCGAAAAAGCGTCATTTTTCTTTGAAGAGAAAAAGCAGTGATATGTACAGACAAACATTAGCTACTACCAATGAGCATTATTAACATCAATTGTTATGATTTGATTTTCTCTATACATTAGTGTATATACATTTACATTTATTTATAAGTATCCACTCTCGCATTGCTTAACCATTTATCTTTTTCTCAAATATTTTATGATTGTACAGAATATTTATTCCAACCAATAAATTATACTTTCCTTGCTCGAATATCAGATCACCTGTGTTCTATGTGTTTGATTCTCTGTACGGTTAACACATTACTATCACTTTATCGAAGCATTAAAATGAGACATGTGTTTCTTATTTTTGAATAGTGTATTTATGATTACTTCAAAGTCTATATTTTTGTATGTGCTTGGTTAGGCATTTTTCAGTGGTGTTTTTTGTCCAGGATAAATGCGTGAGCAGCTGCTTCTGCAACACCTACCCACCGTTATCACATCACTACATTGTCAGGCTAATATTTAAAATTTGAGCTACATAGTTTATTAACAGATGTGTGTTTGTCATGGATATGCAGCTGCCACTGCTACTACTGCCTTATTGATTAAGTATACAGGGGGGAGTTTAGCACACGTGCGCTTATCCATCATCTGCTTACAATTATTATTACGATTGAGGGGGGGAGAGCGAATAAAAAACAGAAAGCCACCTGTACAGTTAAATGCGTATAGAGATTAAAGACTAAATTTATTACGGCTCAGTTGCTGTATGTGTTACCATCAGTGGTAAAATTAAGAAACTGAGCGAGTAAAATAAGACGTAAAAGACAGTTGGTCTCTAATTCCAACATCTGCCTTATCGATAATTTGAATTCCAGCTTACCGTTTTGATTTCCTAACTTCATTGTATGTTAGCATCAATCGATTTATCACAACAGATGTGAGTAGTAAGATTAATTTCCAAAAGATGATGTCCTCAGTTTCAATTGGTAAAATGTAAATGAACTAGGCTTGAACCTCTGTCTTTTTTAGTTTCACGCTGGTTTACAAAGTTGTTGGGTTCGTTTAGTTGAATAATATAGACAATTGATAGACACTAAATATCTTTGGCGATCAACCAAAATATACTGTCTCAGAGTGTTTGACTATTTTCATAGAATGAGACATAATTTTTAACAGTATATAGATTCGTCGAAAGTTTAGTGCGCCACTTACTATGACTTCATTATGCGAAGTCTTGGAGGTTTTTTGCAGTCTCATCTCTATTGCTTTGGTTATCGAAGATCGAAAAAATATTTCTAGTTGGGACGTGATTAGTTCGTTTCGCTCTTCCACAGAATGAACAATAACTTAAATACTGTCAATATCTATAGTCTTCTAACGCAGTGGCTGGCATGAGGTGCAGGCAAACTTGATTAACATAACAGTCATTCTTTTTCAGACAATTTATTACAAATTTTGCTCTGATTCCTATTGTGATAGATTTTCATCATCACTCTGAAGGATACATGTACACCCGTCAATGATTTGAAGTATCGGCCGCTTACATGGTTATATATAGTTTACAGAAAATACATTTTAAGTTGAGTTTGTTCCGATTTCAACCAATTATTTGCACTATTATTTATTTATTTGAACACATACTGGTACAAGGGGGCACCAGATATATATGCGCCACACAAAACAGTGAGAATGGGAAGAGAAAGAATGTAAGGTGTGTATAAGAAAGGAAAAGAGAGAACAATTAAGAACACAGATTAGTGTATGGTAGTGAAATAATAATAATGGGGGAAACAGGAAGAATTCTTTCAGTTAGAGAAGTTACAGTCACTTTTTATAAAGAAAGTAAAAGAAGGTTACAGCAGGATCACCACTGGTTTTTATTCTGAGCCATATTTGATAACGTCTGTAGCCACTGTGTTGCATCATCCATTGGACCCTAGCCAGGGTGTCGAGAAGGACCAGCAGAAGCCAGTCCTGTGTAGCTTTCTCTTATACCATGACACTATGTCATGCACTGACCACCTCCGCTTTTTCCAATCAGTCCCATACTGGGACGAAACGGCCGTCCAGTTCTTCCAGGTTTTCCATGGTGGTCTAGCTTCCATTGACTGATGATTTCAACCTGTGGAATTTCCTAAATTCCCACAAAACTCATTCTGATAATCTTATTATTGACAGATAGTTCCCATTTAAACATTAAAATTAAAACACGAATTTCAGCGAAGGGACCTCTTTTTAACGAATTTATTATCAAGCTGTACAATCGTATATATATGAAAATTTTGTTTTTGTAAAAGTACTAATTCCGTGAGGAAATGTGAACACAGTTAATAAAAAGGTTATAATACTAGATTACGTAATACGAATAATAACAATAGATTTAGTGAATATAATAAGATGATTAAAATTCGTTGAAAAGAGATCCTTTCGCTGAAATTCGTGTTTTAATCTTATTATTTGCACTCCTACTACTTGATCTAGTATGCAAATCAAGTGTGATATGATAACAGTGTTCATAGTTTAATCAAACTTGATTTATCCTCACATTTGAAATGATGTACCACTAAGCTGCGATTTAAACTCACAAACAAGAAATTGATCAAATGTGTTTAGTGACGACCAATCTCACCAGTTATTTAGGTTTGGTAAATCGTCTTAACTTTGGAATTTAGCATTAGTAACCATCAAATAATTTACTGATATAGTAAAAAGATCTGAGCTGGTGATATGTCTTGGGTTTGAAGGATAATTTCGTACAAGATTTTAAATGTTAATTAATCATGAAGACAGTTGAGGAGTTTGTTCAAGCCTTATTAATTAATAACGTGTCGTAATCACTAATGGAGAATGATTTCTTTATATAGTAATATTATAAGTTATGCTAAGAAAAATGATCTTAACTGTTGATAACTCCATTCTTTTGAGAAAAATACGATCATCCTTATGACAACTAAAATATCCATTGTTGATCTAATAGAGTTCCTAGTACAATACGCTCTCATAAAAAAAACCAGGAAGTGCTGAAATTTATTTATAGTTTCCTGTTAGTGAAGCAAAGTTGAGGAGTCAGACTAAGACGAAGCCATTGCACTATGATTTGCAGTTGCTGTTGAATTAAAGTCATTCTAGGGTGTAAACTATTGAGTAGTTTGAACACACAAAAGGTTTGTTGCGATGTAATACGATCACATTTGTTATCAACTTTAAAAATTAATGAAATAGGCTCTTGGAAATGAACTTGCTCGATCTTCCATTCCTAATTAGTCCCTAATAATAATCTAATTTTGGGAAGTGTGTATACACTTCTCCATTCTCCAATGATAAAGAAGAATTACAACTGGGGTGAATTCTCCTAATGATATAGTGTTCTTTTCGGCATGGAGTAAGCTCTAATGTTATTGTCCAAAACTACAAACAGTACTTTTCAATCAATTCATCCACCTCAACGACCACAGCGCCATCAAAGTTTTCCACATTTGAGTAAAGTACGGAACGACAGCTGAGACAGAATAATATGAATTAGTTATATTTCGTGGTTTCTCATCAGCTACTTACAACCACTGATGTGTATGGAAGCGCAACATTGAGATATGATATAATGTTGAACAATAAACATTGATAGTAAAAGGAATTAGAGTAACAAAGATTATCAAGTTCTTCCCGTCATCAATCCCTGTTGCTTCACACCATGCCATAACTCAATGTTGCACACTAATGGTTATAAGTAGATGATGAGAAACAACGAAATATGAAATGGTGGAGGAGATTTGTAGCTCGGAGAACAAAACCACCAAAAATAACGAAATATAGTTAATTCATATTATTCTACCCCAATTTTTGTTTTCGTTTTATTCAAAAGCATTGATTTGATTGAATAAAGTTGCTGGGTCAGATCAGTCGATCGATATTTTACTTAAGAGTTGGTAAGTTATCCGAAAAAGGAGACTCACTAATCGGTGAACCCGTTATTTTCTAAAATAAAAATTACTATCCACATACAAGTTTGCTCAACCTTTGGTATTATGGCAGATAACGAATTAATGGCTGCAAAAAATGACTAAATATCCTATATGTTACCAAGTCAGTAGAAATAGAAACCAGACCTCTTTGCTTTGGTTAAGTTGAGTAGCTTAACTACATGTTTTCATTTAACACTCCAGAGTAGTCAAGAGAGTTGACATGACAACTAGCCAGATTTTTTTTATCTTAGTCTGTCGTTCACTGACTTTTTAGATTAAAAAAATCATGTTTTATCATGATAAGTGTTTCCGTCCAGTTTTTTTCTTAATGAAAATCTAAACTCAGAAAGTGACAATTTTTGTGGGATACAATCAATTCATCTTAGCGGTTCGTAGGTTACTCCTCAACCAGATACAACCTAATAAATAAATAAAGATATTTAGGAATTTAGAAAATTAATTGTTCATTGAAAACAATAATGAAGAACTCAGGGATCAAAACATGATTAGCACTGTGGTTGCGTGACTTCCAATGGACACGAAACACAGATGTATATAAGCACATTTAATGTAATCAATAAACAGAATAGTACTAGAGTATCAATATCTACAAAGGATATAGAAGACTGGAGAATAAAGCATTATCTTATGTATTCAAAACTAATCGTTGGCTTACAATGTCTTGGTAACAGAGGTGAACTATGCATATAACAATGTTTAACATTTCAACTCTTAATACAACTCGTAGTTCAATTTCTTATCAATTCTGAATATCTGAAATTAATAATCTCTATAAACTTAATGAGAATGAAATAATATCCAATGAAACAGGTCGTATTCCCTGCAAATATTGTCATTTTTTGATGATCGTGTGTATGACGATCATTATATTATATGCTATTGATTATTTTGGTGTTCTCTACAACCCCATCAGAAATTCGACAGTAAATTTTTGAAAAATAGAAACAAGTGAGATGATAGTAGCTTCTCCTAAATTATTTGTTATACTTCATGAA